TATATGATTTTATAATGATTTATTTGATCTTTAAAATAGGTCTTCTTCATTAAATATTGATGAATGTTCTTTTCTGTCAATAATGATATTATTGACTTGTATAGATGCCGAAAGAAAGACCCATATTTTCAAAGGTAAGTAATAACGCTAGAGTATCACCATATCCTGACCGTCGATCTTCAAAGAGCATCAAACAAGTATCACATGAGTCAAAGTTTTCGGTCCATTCAGAATGGGAGGATGTTATGTGCGTTATATGCATGGAACCACCCCACAATGCTGTCCTCTTGCGCTGCTCGTCATACTCTAAAGGATGTCGTCCTTATATGTGTGATACAAATCTCTATCACTCCAACTGTTTTAATCAATTCAGCAGAAACAACAGGCACCACTCAAATGTGAAGACTTTAAGTTGTCCTCTCTGTAGAGGAGAAGTTTATGGGACAGTGTATTCGACAAGTGGAAGAAGATTCATGAATGCTAAACCAAGGCCTTGCTCTGTCGATAAATGCAAATTTTCTGGAACATATTCTAAGCTCGATAAGCACTTCATAACAGCGCATATGTATCCCAATACACCAAATGTCGATCCATTGAGGCAATGGACGCCGGAACAAATACACAGGAGTGCTCAATACATGGAACAGATGAGTCAAACTGAAATTCCGTATAGGCTTCAGGTTGTGCAAAATCAATTTCCATACATTCATCACCCCTCTATGATTCAGAGGAACGTTAACGGAACTGTGCAAAGTCTTCTTTACTCAAGACAGGAAACGAATCACTTTGGACTCGGCAACAACACCACATATTCCATGCCTAGACCGGAGTTTCAAGCTATGTCCATGTTTTATGGATGGGTTCCATAAAGACCTTTCCTTAGTGAAAGCTTAAAATGTTTAAACTGATCAAAGTTTTAATGTCTTCATACTTTGTTCTTTCATTTAGTCAATGTTTTAGTGTCTTAATATTACTTTATGTGTAATATTATGATTTTCAAATTATGTTTCTATGCAAAGTTTTCTAATGTTTAAAATTGTTAGTTTTACTTATGTGTACAAACCAACAAAATTCAAATTCTACATTTTAATCTATCTCTCTCTCTCATCATTATTAATATAAAATATTAATAATATAAAATATTAATAATATAAAATATTAATAATCTAATAATACTAATAAAACGAGTATTATGAACTATATACTTAATTGAAAAACATGAGAAATAATATAATGGATAGTTAAAAATGCTTCTCATATGATTGATATCTATTTTCGTATAAAATCTAAAATGACTTGTTCCCGTGTTTTGTCTTCATTTGCTGCAACAATCACATCCTGGACGATCACTCAAGAGATTTAAAATATTCTCTTGGCAATAACATTAGTCGTTGATGAGAGGATATTTTCCTTAGTGAAAACCTAAAAATTTTAAATTAATCAAAGTTTTAATGTCTTAATACTTTGTTCTTTCATTTAGTCAATGTTTGAGTGTCTTAATATTACTTTATGTGTAATGTAATCATTTTCAAATTATGATTCTATGCAAGTTTTTCTAATGTTTAAAATTGTTACTCTTAGTTATTTGTATACTCCAACGAAATTTAAATTCTACATCTTTCTCTCTCTCTCTCTCATCATTATTAATATAAAATATTAATAATCTAATAATAC